ATAATCGATTATCTTTCACTGACAATCGACTATCCAACACCCCTGAACTTCCTTGGCAGAATCTGAAACCCCAAATAATCGATTATCAACTATTGATAATCGACTATCCCACCCTTCTGAACCTTCTTGGCTTAAACTACACAATCCCACAATCGATTGTTGCTAAAGTGACAATCGACTATTTCCCTTCCCTGAACTCCCAAATTTCCTTCCCAAGAAACTGAACCTCTTGTTAGTCGATTATCATAAATTGATAATCGATTATTCCTTGCTCCTGCAGTTTAAGAAGCTTTGTCCCAAACTTAAAGCTTATTCCCAGAATTTGGGTATAACATTTGGTATCAGAGCCCATTGTTCCACATCCCCAAGGACCAAAACACTTCCCTCAACCTTACCCATTTCCTTTCCTACCACCCACTGACGCCAATTCAACCATGTCGAATGAATCGCAACCCATGTTCCATGAGGAGCTTGTTGCATCCAACTCCGCCTTAAAGGCCCAAGGAGAGTACTTGGCCAAGGAGGTAGCTAAGCTCACCAAGATAAAGCTCAACGCCCTTCAAGGTAGTGATCATGAGGATGATGCAAGCACCAGCAGCACCAACAAGGCCAAAACTAATGACGGGTCTGACTTCAAAGTTGATGTCCCAACTTTTGAGGGAAAGAACGAACCGGACGAGTTTCTAGAATGGCTAGAGACGGTGGAGCGCGTTTTCGATTTCAAAGAAGTCTCCGATGAGAAGAAGGTCAAGATAGTGGCCTTGAAGTTCCGCAAGTATGCATCTACTTGGTGGACTAACACGTGCACCAAAAGGAGAAGAAACCACAAGGAGCCGGTGGCTATGTGGGCCAAAATGAAGTCTCTCTTAAAGAAGAAGTTCTTGCCCGCTGAATATGTTCATGAGAATTTTGCCAAGCTTCAAACGCTTAAGCAAGGTTCTAAATCGGTTGAAGAATACACCCGTGAGTTCGAGGAACTCTTGCTAAGGTGTGACTTGCAAGAAGATGATGAGCAAACCTTTGTACGATACCTATTCAGCTTAAACCTACAAATAGCCAATACGGTAGAGCTACAAAGCTATGAGTCCCTGGAAGAGCTTACCAAATTAGCCCTTAAGGTTGAAGCACAAATAAAGAAATCCAAAGCCCTTCTCTTCAAAGGTAACCCCTCTTACATACGGCCCAACACCACTTTCCAAAAGCCCAACTATTCTCCATCCAAAGCACCCATTTGCTTTCGATGTCAAAGGTGATGGCAATCGTTGAGTGTGATAAAGAAGAATTTGATCCAACTTGGGCTGAAGAAAACATGGAAGAAATCGAAGAGCAAGATGAATGCATTGGCCCCGATAAAGGAGAGCTCCTGGTCATTCGAAGGACTTTGAGTACCATAGCATGTCCCGAAGAACAATTGCAACGGGAGAACATTTTTCACACTCGTTGCACCGTACAAAGGAAGGTGTGTTCTCTTATCATTGATAGCGGGAGTTGCACTAACGTGGCTTCCAAAACTATGGTGGACAAGCTGCACTTAAAAACATCACCGCATCCTAAGCTATACACGATTCAATGGCTGAATCATGGCAAGGGCTTTCGAGTTGATACGCAGAGCCTCATTTCTTTGAGCATTGGCAAAGCATACAAGGATGACGTATGGTGTGATATCATCCCTATGGATGCGTGCCACATACTTTTGGGACGACCTTGGTTATTTGATCATCGTGTGCAACATGACGGTTGCGCCAACACTTATTCATTCTTGATGAATAAGAAGAAGATTACCCTAACACCATTACCACCACCCCCCTCTTCTACGGCCAAAACTACACCAGAACAACCCCCCGTCCTTATATCCACCATCTTTCAATCTGAGCAGCATGAATTTGATGGGGTTAAAGATTTAATCCTGTTGGAAGATGGGGAAGCCGAACCCTTCACACCTCTCAAACCACCCCATCCCTTGGTCGAGCCAATTTTGCGAGACTATACCCAAGTATTTCCTGATGATGTTCCCCATGGTTTACCCCCCAAACGGGACATACAACACAAGATTGATCTCATCCCGGGGGCTGCCCTACCCAACAAACCGGCCTATAGGATGAACCCCGAAGAAACGAAGGAGATTCAACGCCAAGTTGATGAGCTGCTAGCTAAAGGCTTCGTGAGAGAGAGCCTTAGCCCGTGCGCTGTCCCGGCACTTTTGGTGCTAAAGAAGAATGGAACGTGGCGTATGTGTTGCGATAGTCGGTCTCTCAACAAGATCACTATCAAGTATCGGTACCCGATTCCCCGTTTGAAAGACATGTTGGATGAGTTGCATGGTTCCAAGATCTTTTCAAAAATTGATCTTAGGAGTGGATATCATCAAATTCGAATCTTTGAAGGAGACGAGTGGAAGACAGCGTTCAAGACGAAGTTTGGGTTATACGAATGGTTGGTTATGCCATTTGGATTAACCAATGCCCCGAGCACGTTCATGCGGCTTATGAATCAGGTCTTGAAGCCGTTTATAGGGAATTTTGTCGTTGTCTACTTTGACGACATTCTGATTTATAGCAAAAATGAAGAAGATCATGCTAATCACCTCACTTTGGTGATTAAGAAGTTGGACAAGGAGAAACTCTACGGCAACCTCAAAAAGAGCCAATTCTTTTCGCAAGAAACGGAGTTCTTGGGATACTTTATCTCAAGTGAAGGCATACGGGTGGACGAAAAGAAGACACAAGCCATTAGAGAATGGCCGACCCCCACCACTATGCAACAAGTTCGGAGTTTTCATGGTCTTGCCTCTTTCTACCGGAGATTTGTGAAGGATTTTAGCACCATCACGGCACCTATCACGGATTTGACGAAAAATCAGAAATTCGAGTGGAACTCCAAGGCCCAACAGGCCTTTGAAACAATCAAGGAGCGATTAACACATGCCCCCGTGTTAGCCCTTCCTAGTTTTGAAAACCTATTCGAGGTCGAGTGTGATGCCTCAGGAGTTGGAATCGGAGTTGTCCTATCCCAAGAAGGGCACCCGGTGTCGTATTTTAGCGAGAAGCTAAACGACACAAGAAGGAGGTATTCCACATACGACAAGGAGTTCTACGCATTGGTGCGGTCACTTGAGCATTGGCGCCATTATCTCGTGAGCAAGGAATTCATCTTACATTCCGACCATGAGGCTCTAAAGTACATCCAAGGGCAACATAAACTCCGACCCCGGCATGCTAAATGGGTCGAGTATATCCAAACCTTCACCTTCACCATCAAACACAAAAACGGAACCATGAACAAGGGCGCCGATGCCTTGTCCCGGAGGCATTTATTACTAACGGTACTTAGTACCAAACTTGTTGGTTTTGAGTTTTTGCAGGAGCTGTACAAGGAAGATGAAGACTTCAAGGACACTTATTCTAAGTGCCTCATTCGGCCATATGGAGATTTTCTTGTCAAAGACGGTTATCTCTTCCGTGGTAACCAACTGTGCGTCTCGAAAAGCAGTATGCGCGAAACCCTCATTGAAGAAGTCCACGGAGGAGGCCTAGCTGGTCATTATGGAGTCGACAAGACTCACATGATGATGAAGGAGCATTACCACTGGCCAAAGATGGAACGAGACGTCGAGCATTTTATCAAGCGTTGCAACACATGCCACCTAGCAAAGAGTCACTCACTTCCCCAAGGAAAGCACATGCCGCTACCCATTCCTTGTGCACCATGGGAAGATATTAGCTTGGATTTCATCACCGGGCTACCGAGGACGCAGCGGGGCAAAGATTCGATCATGGTTGTCGTGGACCGTTTCTCAAAGATGGCCATTTCGTGCCATGTGTTACCACTTATGATGCTTCACAAGTTGCGGATATCTACTTTCGAGAGATAGTCAAACTCCATGGCGTTCCTCGAAGCATGGTATCGGACAGAGACACCAAATTCCTTAGTCATTTTTGGATGACTCTTTGGAAAAAATTGGGCACTAAACTGAAGTTTAGTACGTCAAGCCACCCACAAACCGATGGCCAAACCGAGGTCACCAACCGCACCCTGGGAACACTCTTACGAGCCCTCATCAAGAAGAACATCAAGCAATGGGAGGAGCTTCTTCCACATGCCGAGTTTGCCTACAACCGAACCCGAACAAGACTACCGGACTATCCCCATTCACGGTGGTCTATGGTTCGAACCCCTTGACCCCACTTGAACTTGATCCGATCATCACGGAAACCAAATACAGTTGGGAAGCAGACAAGCGGTCAAAGGAAATCCAAGACCTTCACGCCAGGGTTCGAGAGAAGATTGAAGCTATAAACGAGAAGGTAAGTGCATGCATCAACAGAGGAAGAAAGAACGTCCACTTCCAACCAGGAGACCTAGTTTGGATTCACCTTCGGAAAGAGTGTTTCCCCACGAAACGCAAGTCAAAGTTGCTGCCAAGAGCCGATGGCCCGTTTGAAATCATAGAGAAAATCAATGACAATGCCTACAAGATTAACCTTCAAGGAGATTATGGAGTATCGGCTACTTTCAATATCAAGGACATCAGCCCGTACTTTGAGCCTGAAGGAATTCCGAGTTTGAGGACAAACTCTTTTGAAGAAGGGGAGGATGATATACCCCGGGCGACTACCAACGACTCTAAAGTCGTTAAACAAATTAACGGAATAATGGCTAAGTGTTATGATTCCTTTTGGTCCGAACTTATCAATCCTAAAACCCGCCACATAGCCATAATTTCCCTGAGCTCAACTCCAACTTAAAAGGCCCAGCCATTCTCATCCAATCCAAACCCCAAAATATCCAAAATAATAAACCCAAAACTACATTTATTTTTCCTTCATCCCTGGCCAAAAACCTCATGCCACAACCCTGCCAATACCACTCCTTTACACCTCAACTTGGCTAAACAAACAGCCATAAAATCCAGGACACCTTGACCCACACCCACACCCTTCAATTCCCCATGTTTTTACCCCATATCCACCCCAGGAAATACCTCCAAATAACCTGCTACCCCACCCTTTTTCTCCTGCCCAAAACAACCCCACCTAAGCCAATGAATTGTGAATTATATTCACATATTCCCTCCCACCACTAATAGCCAAAATCCTGCCCTACAAGTACAATAATCCATGTGTTTTCCCACTAAAGGAACATCAGCAAGTGGCCATTAATTTCTTTAATTTGTGTGAATAAGAGACTTGGTAGTCTCCCTTTTCTATGCCTATATAAGCTCATCCCTGAGCATTGTAAACATACATTGTATTCCCAATTTCCAACTTAGTAATACACTTGTTTGTGTGTGCTATCTTAAATTCCAAAATCTATATCTTAAGAGTGGTTCTCTTGAGTGTGAGTTTTAGGTTCTAGTTATTTAGATAAGTGTGTCATATCTTATTTAAATACTAGACTCAACCCCAAGTTAAGATAAGAGTGTAATATCTCTTAACCCCAACTTGGTAATATCTATCCCTGATTTCCTTCCACCCCATATCCCTCCATTTCTCATTCTGAAATCCCCCTCTTTTCTTCCCTTAACATATAAAACACCCTATCATTCCTTCCCATAACTTCCCTACATAGCCCGGCCACTTTCCTTCCATATTGAAACCTCGGGTAACCCTCATAATCGATTATCTTTCACTGACAATCGACTATCCAACACCCCTGAACTTCCTTGGCAGAATCTGAAACCCCAAATAATCGATTATCAACTATTGATAATCGACTATCCCACCCTTCTGAACCTTCTTGGCTTAAACTACACAATCCCACAATCGATTGTTTCTAAAGTGACAATCGACTATTTCCCTTCCCTGAACTCCCAAATTTCCTTCCCAAGAAACTGAACCTCTTGTTAGTCGATTATCATAAATTGATAATCGATTATTCCTTGCTCCTGCAGTTTAAGAAGCTTTGTCCCAAACTTAAAGCTTATTCCCGGAGTTCGGGTATAACACCCCCAAGGTCTATGGGGTGGATGATAAGACATATTTGTCCACTTTCCACTTGGTCTTAGAAACGGGTGACTTCTCTAAGCGCAATGGCCAAAGACGAGGCCAAAGCTAAGGAATTGGTGGCGAACAAGAAGAGAGAAGAAGAAAGCAGATTGGGAGCCTTGGGTGCTTTGGTGTTGTACCCAAACTTAGGATAGATAAACAGGAACAGATTCACTGAGGGTTCAGAACTATGGAATAATCGATTAACACAATTGGTAAATCGATTAATAGGGATTAGCTCAACTGGAATTGTTCAGAGGAACCAGATAATCGATTGACACTGCAAGACAATCGATTGTGTGATGTTGCAGATTTTGAAGAAGAATCAGAAGGCTTCAATAGTCGATTATCAAACAATGATAATCGCTTATTAGGGTGTAGCTCAACTAGAAATGTTCAAAGGAACCAGTTAGTCGATTGACACTACAAGATAATCGATTGTGTGATGTTGCAGATTTTGAAGAGGAATCAGAAGGCTTCAATAGTCGATTATCAAGCAATGATAATCGATTATTTATAGGTTCAGGATCAGAATTAGAAGAAAAGAAGGGAAATGTTTTTGTGGTTTTTGTATAAAGGATAAACCAAATAATATGTAAGAGATAAACACACTCTTTATATATATTTGGGGCTATTATCTATTTTATACTATAATAATCACTATTAAAGTATTAAATAGACTCCTAACACACACTCAAAAGTAGCCAACTTTAGAGATATTTCATTAGGAAATGGATTGAACTAGCTTCACACCAATTCAGGGAATACTTCAAGAGTAATATTGATAATGATAAATGAGATGATCTTTACAAGGCCTCATGGCCNTATTCTTAGTGGGCAGCACTCATTGACCAGGAAAAGGAGATTAAAAGGCTGGGATTTTGGCTTAGTATGGTTCATTAATTCCTGCCATGTGAGAAGGAAATCAAGGAAAATTGTAACTTTTGACAATTAAGGATAATGTGACAAAGTTTGCACTATTCAATCACTGATTTTGGTTCCTTGATGTTTTTATCTTTATCCTTGGTAAATGGAGTTGTGTTTATGGATATTTGGAGTGGGAAATTCGGCCATATGCTGAAGGATATGAATGGGATTGGGTTTTGAACAACAGGACAAAATCAGCACTATTCAATCAAGGAAAACTTTTTCCTGATTTTGTTTTTGTTTTGTGGAACATAATGTGGCCTGATTGTTAGTAAGCGTGAGTCATCAGCTCGCGTTGACTACGTCCCTGCCCTTTGTACACACCGCCCGCCGCTCCTACCGATTGAATGATCTGGTGAAGTGTTCGGATCGTGGTGATGTGGGTGGTTTTCTGCCCGTGACGTTGCGAGAAGTCCATTGAACCTTATCATTTAGAGGAAGGAGAAGTCGTAACAACAGAAGTAGAAATAATACACAAGGCTTGTCCTTCTGACCTCATTCTCGTTCAGGGTTAAAAAGGAGAGAAAGGACTTTATTTTGTTTATTAAATGGAAATAAAAGACTTTGGATATTTGGGAAGGATATGGAAAGGCTTGATATCAAGAAGAGCTTTGGAGGAGCAGGGTTATGGTTTGGGTTTTAGGGCATAAAAGGTTAATGAGTTCAGCCCAAAAAGGATCATAACACTTAGATATTAACCCTTTGATTTGTTTTATGGTTTGTGGTGTAACCTCCGTGCTTGTAGGAGCATCCCGGGGTACATCATTTGGGCAAACCCACACCGAGGAAGACCACGGAGAAACGACCGCCCACCTCCACTGGTCACCACTACTGTTATACCCGAGCTCCGGGAATAAGCTTTAAGTTTGGGACAAAGCTTCGTAAACTGCAGGAGAAAGGAATAATCGATTATCAATTTATGATAATCGACTAACAAGAGGTTCAGTTTCTTTGGAGGGAAATTTGGGAGTTCAGGGAAGGGAAATAGTCGATTGTCACTTTAGCAATAATCGATTGTGGGATTGTGTAGTTTAAGCCAAGAAGATTCAGAAGGGTGGGATAGTCGATTATCAATAGTTGATAATAGATTATTTGGGGTTTCAGATTCTGCCAAGGAAGTTCAGGGGTGTTGGATAGTCGATTATCAATGAAGGATAATCGATTATCAGGGTTAACCGAGGTTTCAATATGGAAGGAAAATGGCAGGGCTATGTAGGGAAGTTATGGGAAGGAATGATAGGGTATTTTCCTGGGTTAAGGGAAGAAAAGAGGGGGATTTCAGAGTGAGAAATGGTGGGATATGGGGTGGAGAAAAATCAGTGATAGATGTTACCAAGTTGGGGTTAAGAGATATTACACACTCTTATCTTAACTTGGGGTTGAGTCTAGTATTTAAATAAGATATGACACACTTATCTAAATAACTAGAACCTAAAACTCACGCTCAAGAGAACCACTCTTAAGATATAGATTTAGGAATTTAAAATAGCACACACAAACAAGTGTTTTACTAAGTTGGAAATTGGGAATACAATATATGTGTTTACAATGCTCAAGGATGAGCTTATATAAGCATAGAAAAAGGAGACTACCGTGTCTCTTATTCACACAAACTAAAGGAATTAATGGCCACATGTTGATGTTCTTTTGGTGGGGGAAAAACACAGGGGTGATTGTACTTGTAGGGTAGGATTCTTGGCCATTAGTGGTAGGAGGGAATATGTGAATATAATTCACAATTGATTGGCTTTGGGTGGGGCTGTATTTGGGCAGGAGGAAAAGTTGGATGGTAGGCTATTTGGATGCATTTCCTGGGCAGGATATGGGGGAATCAAATGGGGTTGAAAAGTGTGGGTGTGGACCAAAGTGTCTTGGATTTTTGTGGCTGTTTGTTTAGCCAAGTTGAGGTGTAAGGAAATGGTAATGGCATGGTTAAGGGCTAAGGTTTTTGGTCAGGGATGGAGGGAGGAAAGGTAAGGAAAAGAAATATAGTTTTGGGGTTTATTATTTTTTGGATATTTTGGGGATTGGTTTGGATGAGAATGGCTGGGTTTTAAGTGGGAGTTGGGCTCAGGGAAATTATGGCTATGTGGTGGGTTTTAGGATTGATAAGCTCGGTCCAAAAGGGATCATAACATTTAGCCATTATTCCATTAATTTGCTTAACTACTTTAGAGTCGTTGGTAGTCGCCCAGGGTATATCATCCTCCCCTTCTTCAAAATAGTTTGTCCTTAAACTCAGAATATCTTCAGGATCAAAGTACGGGCTGATGTCCTTGATGTTGAATGTGGCCGATACTCCATAGTCTCCTGGAAGGTTGATTTTGTAGGCATTGTCATTTACCTTCTCCAATATCTCAAAGGGTCCATCGGCTCTCGGTAATAGCTTTGACTTGCGTTTCGTTGGGAAACGCTCTTTCCTCAGATGAATCCAAACAAGATCTCCTCGTTGAAAATGGGCGTCCTTCCTTCCTTTGTTGATGCGTGCACTAATCTTCTCATTCATAGCTTCGATTTTGTCTCGAACTTTGTTGTGAATGTCTTGAATTTCCTTCGATCTCTTGTCTGCTTCCCAACTATACTTGGTATCCGTTATGATAGGATCAAGCTCTAGTGGGGTCAGAGGATTCGAACCATAGACAATGGTGAAAGGAGATAGTCCGGTAGTCTTGTTCGGAGTTCGGTTGTAAGCAAAGTCGGCATGCGGTAGCAACTCCTCCCATTGTTTGATGTTCTTCCTTATGAGGGTTCGGAGAAGAGTTCCAAGGGTTCGGTTGTTAACTTCAGTCTGCCCATCCGTTTGGGGGTGGCTTGCTGTACTAAATTTGAGTTTAGTACCCAACTTTCTCCACAGAGTCGTCCAAAAGTGGCTAAGGAATTTCGTATCCCTATCCGAGACCATGCTTCGGGGAACGCCATGGAGTTTTACGATCTCTCGGAAGTAGAGATCAGCCACTTGAGATGCATCATACGTTGTAACACATGGCACAAAATGAGCCATTTTTGAAAAACGATCCACCACAACCATGATGGAGTCTTTTCCTCGTTGAGTCCTTGGCAGCCCGGTGATGAAATCCAAGCTGATGTCTTCTCATGGTGCATTGGGAACGGGTAGGAGAAGGTGCTTTCCTTGGGGCAGCGAATGTCCTTTAGCTTAATGGCAAGTATTGCAACGCTTGATGAAGTGCTCTACGTCCCGCTCCATCTTAGGCCAATGGTAGTGTTCTCTCATCATCATGTGAGTCTTGTCGACTCCATAATGACCAGCTAGGCCTCCTCCGTGGACTTCGTCGATGAGGGTTTCGCGAACGCTGCACTTCGGGATGCATAGTTGATTACCACGAAAAAGATAGCCATCTTTGATAAGAAATTCACCATGGGGCCAAGATAAACACCTAGAATAAGTGTCCTTGAAGTCTTCATCCTCCTTGTAAAGTTCCTGCATACACTCAAAACCAACAAGTTTGGTACTAAGTACCGTTAGTAATAAATGTCTCCGAGACAAGGCATCGGTGCCCTTGTTCATGCTTCCGTTTTTGTGTTTGATGGTCAAGGTGAAGGTTTGGATGTACTCGACCCATTTGGCATGACGGGGTCGGAGTTTATGTTGCCCTTGGATGTATTTCAAGGCCTCATGATCGGAATGTAGGTTGAACTCTTTGCTTATAAGGTAATGGCGCCAATGTTCAAGGGATCGCACCAAAGCATAGAACCCCTTGTCGTAGGTGGAATACCGCCTCCTCGTATCATTTAGCTTTTCGCTAAAGAATGACACCGGGTGCCCTTCTTCAGATAGGACAGCCCCTATTCCAACTCCCGAGGCATCACACTCTACCTTGAATAGTTTGTCAAAGCTAGAAAGGGCTAACACGGGGGCATGTGTTAATCGTTCCTTGATCGTCTCAAATGCTCGTTGGGCCTTGTGATTCCACTCAAACTTCTGATTTTTAGTCAAGTCCGTGATGGGTGCGGTTATGGTACTGAAATCTTTCACAAATCTCCGATAGAAGGAAGCAAGCCCGTGAAAGCTTCTAACTTGCTACATAGAGGTGGGAATGGGCCAATCTCGAATGGCTTGAGTTTTCTTCTCGTCAACCTTGATGCCCTCGCTTGAGATAAAGTATCCCAAGAACTCCGTTTCTCGAGAGAAGAATTGGCTCTTCTCGAGGTTCCCGTACAGCTTCTCTTCGTCCAACCTTTTAATCACCAAAGTGAGGTGATTAACATGCTCTTCTTCGCTCTTGCTATAAATCAGAATATCATCGAAGTATACGACGCCAAAATGACCTATGAATGGCTTCAAGACTTGATTCATAAGTCTCATGAATGTACTCGGGCCATTGGTTAATCCGAATGGCATGACCAACCATTCGTACAGCCCGAACTTCGTCTTAAACGCTGTTTTCCACTCATCTCCTTCGAAGATGCGAATTTGATGGTAGCCACTCCTTAGATCAACTTTTGAAAAGATTTTTGAGCTATGCAGCCCGTCCTCCAAACGTGGGATTGGGTACCGGTATTTGATAGTGATCTTGTTGATAGATCGACTATCACAACACATATGCCACGTTCCATTCTTCTTAGGCACCAAGAGTGCCGGGACAGCGCATGGGCTTGCTTTCTCTCACGAAGCCCTTAGCTAGCAACTCATCAACTTGACGTTGAATCTCTTTTGTCTCCTCGGGATTCATCCTATATGCCGGTTTTGTTGGGTAGGGCAGCCCCCGGAATAAGGTCAATCTTCTGTTGTATGTCCCGTTTAGGAGGGAGGCCGTGTGGTACATCGTCAGGAAATACATGGGGATATTCTTCAAGGATTGGTTGAGCTAGAGGATGGGGATGTTTTGGGGGAGTGTGGGGTTCGGTTTCTCCATCTTCCAAAAGGATTAAGTCTTTAATCCCATGGTATTCGTGTTGCTCGGATTGTAAGATAGTGGAGATAAGAACGGGGGGTGTTCTTTGGTTGGTTTGGCCGTGGCTGAAGGAGGGGGTGAAGGAGTAAGGGTGATCTTCTTGTTATTCATCAAAAATGAATAAGTGGTGGCATATCCATCATGTTGCACATGATGATCAAACAGCCATGGTCGTCCCAAGAGGATGTGGCATGCGTCCATCAGAATGATATCACACCATACTTCGTCTTTATACGAACTGCCAATGCTTAAGGAAATGAGGCTTTGTGTGTCAACACGTAAACCCTTGCCATGATTCAACCATTGAATCGTATACGGTTTCGGGTGCGGTGACGTCTTTAAACGCAGCTTGTCCACCATGGTTTTGGAAGCCACATTGGTGCAACTCCTGCTATCAATGATAAGGGAACACACCTTCTTTTGGACAGTACAATGGGTGTGGAATATATTTTCCCGTTGTAGTTGTTCTTCGGGGCATGCTAGAGTGCTCAAAGTCCTACGGATGACCAGGAGTTCACCATCATCGGGACCAACGTACTCATCTTTTCGTCTGCTTCTTCAACTTCTTCTTCGACCCAAGTTGGGTCGCAATCTTCTTCGTCACACTCAACGATCGCCATAACCTTCTTGTTAGGGCACTCGTTAGCGTAGTGACCGCGCCCTTGACAACGGAAACAAATAGGGGCTTTCTTGATGGGATCAGCCCTTGTAGGGAAGGAGGAGGAGGGGTTTTTGGACGGTGTTGGGGTTGAGGAGTTGGGGGTTTGGCCGTGGGCAGTAGGGGGTGTTTTGGAAGGATAATAGGTGGGTTTTTGGGAGATTGGGTTAGGCCGTGCATAGGTAGGGTTGGGTTTGGAAAAGAGGGACTTGGACTTCTTGATTTGTGCCTCAACTTTGAGGGCTAACTTGGTGAGCTCCTCGAGGGTCTCGTAGCTTTGTAACTCCACCGTATTGGCTATTTGTAGGTTCAAGCCAAAAAGGTAGCGTACAAAGGTTTGCTCATCGTCTTCTTGTAAGTCACACCTCAGCAAGAGTTCCTCGAACTCTCGGTTGTAATCTTCCACGGACTTTGAACATTGCTTAAGTGTTTGGAGCTTAGCAAAATTCTCACGAACGTACTCAGCGGGTAAGAACTTCTTCTTCAAGAGGGACCTCATCTTAGTCCAAGTAGACACTGGTTCCTTACCGTTTCTTCTTCTTTTGGTGCAAGTATTGGTCCTTCACGTGGATGCATACTTGCGGAACTTCAAGGCCACTATCTTGACCTTCTTCTCATCGGAAACTTCTTTGAAATCGAAGATGCGTTCCACCATTTCTAGCCACTCTAGAAACTCATCCAGGTCATTCCTTCCTTCAAAGGTCGGGATGTCCACTTTGAAATCAGACCCGTCATTAGTTTTGGCCTTGGTGGTGCTACTGGTGCTAGCATCATCCTCATGATCACTTCCTTGAAGGGTGCTGAGCTTTATCTTGGTGAGCTTAGCTACCTCCTTGGCCAAGTACTCTACTTGGGCCTTTAAGGCGGCGTTGGATGCAACGAGCTCTTCATGAGACATGGGCTGAGATTCATTTGACATGGTTGGGCTGCGAAAATGGGGGAAGGGGAAATCTTGAGGGAAGTGCTTTGGTCCTTGGGGATGCAGAACAATGAGCTCTGATACCAAATGTTATGCTCGAGCTCCGGGAATAAGCTTTAAGTTTGGGACAAAGCTTCTTAAACTACAGGAGAAAGGAATAATCGATTATCAATTTATGATAATCAACTAACAAGAGGTTCAGTTTCTTGGGAGGGAAATTTGGGAGTTCAGGGAAGGGAAAAAGTCGATTGTCACTTTAGCAATAATCAATTGTGGGATTGTGTAGTTTAAGCCAAGAAGATTCAGAAGGGTGGGATAGTCGATTATCAATAGTTGATAATCGATTATTTGGGGTTTCAGATTCTGCCAAGGAAGTTCAGGGGTGTTGGATAGTCGATTATCAGTGAAGGATAATCGATTATCAGGGTTAACCGAGGTTTCAATATGGAAGGGAAATGGCAGGGCTATGTAGGGAAGTTATGGGAAGGAATGATAGGGTATTTTCTGGGTTAAGGGAAGAAAAGAGGGGGATTTCAGAGTGAGAAATGGTGGGATATGGGGTGGAGAAAAATCAGTGATAGATGTTACCAAGTTGGGGTTAAGAGATATTACACACTCTTATCTTAACTTGGGGTTGAGTCTAGTATTTAAATAAGATATGACACACTTATCTAAATAACTAGAACCTAAAACTCACACTCAAGAGAACCACTCTTAAGATATAGATTTAGGAATTTAAAATAGCACACACAAACAAGTGTATTACTAAGTTGGAAATTGGGAATACAATATATGTGTTTACAATGCTCAGGGATGAGCTTATATAAGCATAGAAAAAGGAGACTACCAAGTCTCTTATTCACACAAACTAAAGGAATTAATGGCCACATGTTGATGTTCTTTTGGTGGGGGAAAAACACAGGGGTGATTGTACTTGTAGGGTAGGATTCTTGGCCATTAGTGGTAGGAGGGAATATGTGAATATAATTCACAATTGATTGGCTTTGGGTGGGGCTGTTTTTGGGCAGGGGGAAAAGTTGGATGGTAGGCTATTTGGATGCATTTCCTGGGCAGGATATGGGGGAATCAAATGGGGTTGAAAAGTGTGGGTGTGGGCCAAAGTGTCTTGGATTTTTGTGGCTATTTGTTTAGCCAAGTTGAGGTGTAAGGAAGTGGTAATGGCATGGTTAAGGGCTAAGGTTTTTGGTTAGGGATGGAGGGAGGAAAGGTAAGGAAAAGAAATATAGTTTTGGGGTTTAATATTTTTTTTGGTTAGTTTGGGGATTAGTTTGGATGAGAATGGCTGGGTTTTAAGTGGGAGTTGGGCTCAGGGAAATTATGGCTATGTGGCGGGTTTTAGGATTGATATGCTCGGTCCAAAAGGGATCATAACATTTAGCCATTATTCCATTAATTGGCTTAACGACTTTAGAGTCGTTGGTAGAAGCCCGGGGTACATCAACTACAAAAAGGGCAGGGACCAGCGAGACGGACGACCTCAAGGGAAAGACCAGTACAAGGATAGAACATACGAAGAAAGGAAGCCCTACCCATTTTTCCCTCCTCGTGGTCCGAAACTCATGGAGCCGGAGGAGTACACACCTTTGACGCATTCCGTCAACACAGTCTTCGATTATGCTAAGCACCAGGGTCTTGTGGAGTATGACCCAAGTTTTTCTCCACTCTATGCTTTGGACAACAGCCCCTATTGCAGGTTTCACAAGGCGGCCAATCACGACACCGATGAATTCAACGTTCTCAAGAGGGAGATCGAGAACCTAATCCGGGCAGGGAATCTGAGCCAATTCGTCAAGAACAGGAATACTTGGCGAAAGGACGTTAAAAGTGAAAGGTAACCATGCAAGGCTAGGCAGCAGAATATAAAAATTTTAACATCCTAACATGATAATCTTGCCCAGAATCACATACTAAAACTTATAGTAAGTAAGAAATTTATACCTTTCTCCAGAAGCGGTAAAAACGAAGAAGTCGTAGGAATAGCGTTGAAAGTGCAAATATAACCGTTCAAGCGTCCAGGCTCTAACTTTGACACACAAACAATGCCGGAGTCTACTACAATCTCTATGCTAGTAAAATCGAATTATATATATAATATTACATTACAAAATATTTTATTTTACTATTTTACAAATATACAAATTACTTATTATCCAATTGTTTAATCCTACTCCTTAAATTGCTCAAAGTGTGTGACCCGTATAGGCACTTATAAAGCTAACCATAGTATTAGCTCTGCACCAATCCTATTAGCAATAAGCGGTATCTAGCAACACATTATTGCCCCCAGATTATAAGTTAAGATGTTTGCACCGTCAAAACCTTTCCACGACTCAGACTCTATGTAATTGTATCCCTTTGTCTCAATGTCTAAACTTAATGCAAGGGATTAATAAAATCCAGCTTGTATGCATTAAGTCAATCACTGAATTATCAAGTCTGACTGATCGGAGCAGACATCATAAAAGTCATAACTTATCAGTGGGCCCCACAAGGCATTAGTCTCTTAAAAGAGTAGTGACAAATCCTATGTACGTAATCCACATTTCTGAATATGCACTGTGGCATACCCAAAACAAAGCCTGTATACTATCCTTATTTCATATGGCTTATGACAATGCATCAAAGCATGCGGGTTCACATATGCAGAAAACGTAATACTTCAAGTCGAAGGATAGTTACATCCGTGGCCGCGATAAAGATGCTTAGAGCATGAACTAAAAGTTCAAGCAACATCGTTAGGGTGGGTCAGTCTGGCATCCTATTATATCGAGATAATATCTATCCATGTGCGGATGCGAACACTCCGTCATTGCCTTCGAAACTAAGTCAAACATCCAACACACACTAGTCTCACATGCATTAACAATATCTTTCTCTCGTTAATACTCGACTATGGACATTCTGATAAATACTTATTTCAAGATGTTAGTCTCATCAAGTGAAAAACATTGTCTGATAAACATCTTTTAATATAAATCTAGGAATATAATAATTGTTTTCATTAGCATGAGATATGTAAACATATTATATCTGCCTATACATGATAGAATAGTGATATAACAGTTGGCCATTAGGGCACAACTCCAACTGGAAGAAGCCAGCAGAAAACCGTGGTAAGAAGTGTTATACCCGACACCCGGGGTCTTGTCAAGTAATCAATTTGATGGCGGGTTTACGGAGGAAATGGAAGCAAGAATGAAACAACTTTGAACTCCAAAGTTCAGGAACTAGTGATAGTCGATTATCATTAACTGATAACCGATTAACAAGAAATTGTTTCCAAACCAAGAATGTTCAGAGATGCCCGATAGTCGATTATCACTTTTATGATAATCGATTGTTGGAAATGGCTGGGTAAAATATGGAGGTGATGAAGGAGTTCTTTTTGGTATTTTGATTTATGAAGATAGAATAGAATGTGGCTTAGGAAGAGAAAATGGAGAGGAACGAAATGGGCAGAAAACAAGGATGGATAAACCAAATAATGAATAAGAGATAAACACACTCTTACTATATTTGGGGCTGTTATCTATTTCACACAATAATAATCACTACTAATGTATAAAATAGACTCCAAACACACACTCAAAAGTAGCCAACTTTAGAGATATTTCATTAGGAAATTTTGCTAAAATAGCATCACACTATTTTAAGAGAATACTCAAAAAGAGTAAACAATATTTTCATTCAAAACAATCTGCTTTACAATGGCCTCATGGCCGAGATTATATACAACAAGGGGAAGGAAAAAAAACAACAATGGCAGCTTCCTTTCTTCTTCCTAAATCACATGAAAGACATTAATGCACAACCATCCATTTGAGTTGAATTCTAGGAGAAAGATGGTGGATTTTGTTTGGCTTTTCTTGCATAAGGATTTCAGCCATATGTGGATTAAGTCAAGGACATTATGTGGCTGTGATGAAGCATTCCTTGGCGTATTTTGAGGGGTATATTTCGGCCTTAAATGGGAAAGAACAAAGAAAGAAACACAATGTGGCTAGTCTTGGATTTATTGCTTTGATACCAAATGTCATATCTAAGCTCAGGGTTTTATAGTCTAAAACTCTTTATTTGCAGGGAGGGGAAGATAATCGATTGTCCTAAGTGGATAATCGATTATTGAAGGCTTCAGGTTCTGGGTGGTTTTCTAGGAATTCTCTGAGAAGGACGATAATCAATTGACGGAGGAGTGGCAATCGATTATTGAGAATTGCAGGTTTCTGGGAAAAGTTGATAATCGATTGTCCTAAGTGGATAATCGATTATTGACGGCTGCAGATGTTTTACGAAGGATAGATAATCGATTTCTACTACCGATAATCGATTATTTGACAGCTCGAGACAGGAAAAGAGGTATTCCTTTGGGAAGGGGAACAAGCCAAGTTGGTGTTAAGGGATATTACTCACCCTTATCTTAACTTGGGGTTGAGTCTAGCATTCAAATAAGATATAACACACTTATTTAAATAACTAGAACCTAAAACTCACGCTCAAGAGAACCACTCTTAAGATATAGGATTAGGAATTTGGAATGAAACACACAAGTGAATCACTTTGATTTAAAAGGGAATACAATGTGTTTCTACACCCAGGCCTATTGCTGAATATATAGGATTACATTGGAGGGAATGAGGGAAAATACAACTCACTCAAAATAATGCCCATGTGCTTATGTTTCTTAAGTGGAATGAAATCAGGGATATGGGTTGTTTGGTGGGGTTTTGGGCTGTTCCTGAGTTGCAAGAATTGTTGGGGGGAAGGAGGGATGAATGTGGCGAGGGCTGAGGTTGAGGGCCAAGGAGTGGGGGTAAGATGAAGTGGTACATTTGGCTGGGTATTTGTGGAGGTTTTGGGGGAATTTGAATTTGGTCAGGGTTGGGAGACAAAGGGGTGTGTGTGGGGTGTGTCATTTGGAGTTTTGTTGTAGGTTTGTTGTGGGGATTGGATGTATTATTGTGAAGGAAAATATCCCTGGGCATTTTGGGTTATAATTTGAGTGTATTGGGGAACATAATGGGGACCATGCTGGGTGTGTTTTTGGACACTTATTTTCGGCATTGTAAAAT